GAAGAGTTTTGGTTCAAAAGAAATTTGTGGGCAGATAGGACATGAAACGGAAAAGAATAACATTAATAAGAACATGTGCAGGTCTAATAGACTTTATAATAATAATTAGGGATAAAATAGAAAATCAAAAAAATTTCACAGACACTGACATTTATAGGTGTGTATGTATAGATACATAAGAAAAATAGTCATAATCTATATATGTATATAGATAGATAAAAGAGAGGGAAAAAATTTTAATGTTAGTAAAATTCTTAAAATTTAGAATTTTTTAGTTTTAAAATTTATTTTAATTAGAAACAATTACTAGGGGTATTTTGGACAATGAAGATTGAAATTGACTTATTCCCAAACAAATTTTTTGGAGTGGATTTATTCCCGAATAAATCTTAAAAAGTGGATTGTCCCCCCAATTTAACTGATTTATAATTATTTATTCTTATGCATAATTGCATAAAGTACTTGTTCATCCAAACTTAGATCTCTAGCAATTCATTTTTCTCATTTTCTCTCTCAATGGTGATTACCTAGTGTAAAAATTAGGAAGGGGCCAATTTATAGATTGTAGGTCCCACTTGTCCCATGCATATTTGTAGAGGTCCTTGTAGACATTAAAACTTTAGTCTATTGGGTTCCAATTTTTACAATTAAATAAGCTCCTAAAATTAAACTAGTTTGGATTTAAATTTCATAAGTCGAAATAATACAAACCTATTAAAACCAAGGGTTGTTTGGGTGTAAGTACATTTTTATAGACTTATTTGAAAGAAAATGCATTGATAAGTTTTTTATTCTATTAAGTTCACTTTTACTAAAACATTTTGTTATTAGGTACAAAATTAAGATGACCTTTTATATATATTACTTGTTTACCCTTCCTTAATCAAATATGTAAAGATTTGATTAGATTTTGTCATTCATTTGAATTTTAGATATTTATTCTTATTCTCTCACGCACTCTCACTCTCACTCTCCCTCTCTCTACCTCCCTATTTTCTCTCACTGTTACTCTTTTTCATATTTTCTCTTTCTCTCTCTGTTACTCTCTCTCCCCCCTTATTTTCTCTTTCTCTCTCTCACTATCTCTCCCTCATTTTCTCTCTCACTGCGTATTCAAAGCACATTTACTCTCTCAATCCAAAGTCGGCATTCTTAAACGTTGTTGTATTAATACTCCAAAAGAGATACACTGAAGAAATCATAATTGATTGATAATTTATTTTCGTTTCAAAATATGTAAAAAAAATTGACATAATCGGATATTAATGTTACACCAACAGTTACTTTAACATAATCAAATATCAACGATATACTACACAGTTACACCAACGTTACATCTTTGGTTTTTTTTTTTTTTGGTTCACCCATTTTGATGTATTTTTCTAGTGTAATAATGTGCTAATACTGAATAGTGTAATTCTTTAGTTTATATAAACAACTGAATGATGTATTGGCTATGATGTCATCATTTTGTGTTCCTATTTGGTGTAACTATTTGGTCTATTAGAATACATGTGTAACTCTATGGTGTATCGTAACACAAGTGTAACTGATTGGTGTAATGTTGATATCCAATTATGTTGAAGTAATTGTTTGGTGTGTAACTCTATGGTGTATCATAACAGAAGTATAACTGATTGGTGTAACTATTTAGTATAACATTGATATCCAATTATATCAAAGTAACTATTTGGTGTAACATTGAATATGTAGTGGAGAGAGAAAATAGAGGAGAGAGAGAAAAAAAATAGGGGAGAGAAAGTGAAGAGTAACGGATAGCTAGAGAGAGTGAGAGAGTAAGAGAGAGAGAAAGAGAGAAAATAAGGAGAAACGGTAACATCTTGCATCTTGCACCTGTTTTTTTTTTTCTTTTATTGAATGGACTTTTGGTCTCTTTTTTTCACAAAAATGTACCTAAGGCTAAATAAGTTTCCTTAATGAATTTTACCTCAAACAAATCTAAATTTTTGTACCGGCTTCCGTTTTTTTCTAAAACCAAAAACTTATAAAATATGGCGGCCCATTACCTAAGCTCATATTTCAATTGATAAAAATGTCAAATTATTGTAATAAATTATTTACCCCCAAATGTATCATTAATTTTATAACCATGTCTTTGTTCATTGGGACTACATCCGCAAGATTAATATTTGAAATGCAACTTTTGGGTGAGGAAGAAACTCTCCCTCGCATGGTTCAAATTTGGTTTTGAGACCATGTTTGGATAAGTAAAAAATGGAAACAAAACTGATGTTGTTAAAACTATGCTAAACTTTTTTGATCATAACAAAATACAATTTACAAAGTAATGATCTTGTTTAAATTTTGTAGAAATTAATTTAATAATTAGATAATATATTTTTATACATAATATTGACTCAAATTTGAGTGTCAAGATTTGAGGAAAAAAATTTGATTTCATACAAAGGAATCCAATGGACAAACTTAAATTTAAAGGTAAGTAAAATATGATCATTAGATCTTTAAAAAAGAATAAAATATCGCCATCATTGATTTGAGTAAAATTTGAGTTTCTTTAATTTTGGTAAATATTTTGAGTCTTCCTTAATTTAAAATGAGTTTAGGCATAGGATTAAATAAAGTTTTTAAATTATTTTTATTTAAATTTAAATTCGGGTCTAAAAAATAATAAGAATTGAAGATGTTTGAACGAGAGACAATAAGAGTAAACAGCAAGCAATACAACAAACATAATAGGCGAATCATTAGACAATAATTTTATTATTTGATTGAATATCAATAAATATTTATATTAATTTGCCGTGGCATCATTTATAAAATCCATGAGACATGTTACGCTTAGTTAACATAAAGCATAAATGTAAACAAAAAAGGCTGGACGACCCAACAAATAAAATGTGCATCACGTGTACCAATGGATCAGTTTATACTGGATTTTGAATCACTCAAAATTTAAATTCAATTTTTGATAAATTTGATGTGAATTTCATTCTATTACTCGATGAAATTTATTTTTATAAGTTATTTTAATTTTAAAAATTCACTCTAAAAAATTGATTCATTACGAATAACTCAATTAAAAATAAATTTTAACAAATTACACCTTAATTTCAATTGAAACTTATTAAATAATAACTAAACTTCATGTATTTAACTCAAAAACTAAATTTTGGTCACACCAATTATTAAATATTCAAGTTTAAATTTATCACATATGATACAATTAGCTTGAATAGGAATAATTAATAAAAAAATTATATGCAATTTATCAAACTCAAATTCGATTCATAATCTGATATACTTGTGATCATTAATTGTCAAAATTATAAAATAAAATAAAATAATAAATAAATAAATTTTACATATGTCAAATTTTGATTAAAATATAAATTCAGTATCACAACGCTATATTATTTATGTCCATGGATATTTTACATTTATTGAACTAAAATTAAAAAAAAATTACCAAACAAAAAAAAAGTATGGGTCAAGAAAGAGATAAAAAAGATAAACAGATGTGCAGATTTGTTTGCTAAAAAATGTATAGTTAGTCAAGATGATCTATATATATTTACAATTCCTATGAATTATACTATTGAACAGTTGTACGCAGATGTGTATTAAATAACACATATGTAATGTTTAATATATATTAGATGCCAAAATTACCAAAAAAAATTTTGTGACACCACGTTGTAACATTGAACATCTTTATTATGACAGTATCTTATAACGGTCTATATATAATTTGACAAATTAAAAAAAATACATAAAATATAAAATAACACATATATTACATTTAATCCTTGCGTGTCATTCAGTAATCAATTTGTCTTACTTAATTGGTTTCATGGACAAAGACTCGACACAGAGGGACGAGTAGAGATTATAATTATTGCGAGATGCACAAACACTTCGATTTTTTGGATAAAAGGAGCCACAGTAGGGCTGGCCTTGGAGGTCAACCAATAAAATAGTCACTTAGAGCCCCAAAAATTTATAGCCTCAATTTAATATTCAACCTTTAGTTCAATTTCATGTTATAAGACCCTTTTGAATAGATAAAATTAAAGGTCTAATATATTTCACAAGTCTATCTAAAGCCTTATAAAAAGTTCTAAAATGTAATAATTTCATAAGTCTACGTAAACCTTATAGAAAGTTCAAAAATATAACAAATCCTTCTAAAAAATATATATATAAATAATGACTTCTAGTTTTAAAAGCTACAATCATTTTCGATTCTCTTCATTATTTTTTCCTTGACTCTCAATCTCTCTTCAACTCTTTCCTTCCCTCCCACTCTGATTGTCTTGCTTTGGTTCTTTATTATTATCTCTATCTTTCTTGATGTTACTTTAATTCTTCGTTTAATTTATTAATGTGTAACATCCTAACTTTACAATTGCACCCAATTTATTGTCTGATCCTGCCCAATATCAAAACTCCTAAAAACAAATCATAGCACAACTTTCTATAAAATCTCTAATATTTATTAAAAAAAATATTATCTTCCTAAAATATTAAATAAAATCTCATGTTCTTTAGGCCCCAATTTGTATCAGGTCAATGTCTAAGTTTTCCAATTTTTCAATTCTTAACCTTTTTTTAAGGAGTGTTATTCTACCGAAATGTTTTATTTTTTTGGGTACTGTACTTTTATTTATTTTTTTTTACTTATAGAAATGCAACATGTATATATTTTTTTCTTAAATTTTTTATTAATTTATTATTTCTGTATTAACGATTAAAAATCATTCAAATTAAAATTAGTGGTCTCAGTAGTACCATAGCTCTTACTCTCCTTCCTCACTTGGAAGTTCTTAGTTTAGTTTTCCATTATAAATGGAACTCAAGCATTTATATCTTCTAGTCTTTGTAATCTCTTAAACTCCTTGAAACCTTGGATATTGAGTAACAATCAAATTTGTTGGTTTGCAAACAAAGAACGTGAGGTAGCAATAGGGTTTTTTTGACACTCTATACCCAGAAAAATTTAACACCAAAGTTCAAAGACGATGAGTTATGTTAGTGTGATGATGCTTTCATGGTGGAACCCTAACGCTCCTAATAGGGTTTCGTTTCACGTTAATCTCAGAAACGTTATAGCATGTGTAAATAACGATATTGACAAAAGGTCAAACACAAGGAATCATGATGAGGATGAAAAGGCAAAAATTACGAATATGGATCTTGAAGAGCTAAAGAGTTATGTTCTCAATCATGAGGATGGTAAGATTGAAGAGTTGATAGAGAGGTAATGATATTTATTTGATTCACTGAAAAGATGCAATAAAAATGACAATGTTAGCATACCACATTCGAAAGCATCCCGAGATGCTTACCTAAACGGATCATATTTCTGCCCAAGATTTGTCACTAAAAAGGCTCAAGCTGAACGAATGGCTGATGAGATACTTCATGCTAAGGCAGCCAAAGAAATTCTTAGTATCAACAACCGTAATAATGACAGTAGAATTTGGACTTGCATGGTCTCCATGCAAAAGAGGCAATTCAAGCCCTCAAGGAGCACTTGCAAAGGATTGAATCTCAAGTATCAGCATCAGTAGTCACAGTCGGGGACAACCTGTCCTTCCAACCCCTATCAAAAGTTTTCTTAGTAAGAATAGATATGATATGATGACTCAATGTCTGGGGTGATCAAAGTAAAACCCTAAAACCCAAGTCAAGTTTGATCGCTGCCGACCATTTGCAAGGGTGGAATTGTTTTCCTCCCTTGCCTTTGCTTGAGATGCCAATTTATGTGTCAATACAACACTGTGAATATAGTTGGTACATAGCACTACTTGGGCCTAATTGTTGATTTAATTCATTGTTAGTATTCGATTACTAATGTAATTCAATATAATAAAATCCAATCACCCCTTTTTTTGGGTTTAGAATTTGATCACTCTTTCCACCAATTCCTTCGTATCATAAAAATCATTTGCTAATCCATCGGTTTGCTAATCCTTCGGTTTGTTGTGTGGAAATAACCATTCAAGGCATCTCACTGAATTTTGCCTAAAGCACATTGAGGATGTGGTCAACTGCAACGCATCTCACTCAGAAATAACACAGTGCAGAACATCACCAGCGCCCTAGGGTGCTTCATATAAGAATGACTATTTACTGCAGATTATGGTGATCAATACCCAGATAATGTTTTCTTAATTGCACAATAAAGGGTACTGCAAGAGAGAGAACAGGAAGCTGGATTCCAAAAGCCTTAAAAGTTTTAATGTTGCTGTGAGATCACTTCTTGCATGAGTACCATTACAGTCCTTAACACAAGTTTGTTATTGTTTTTAGGTCAATGATAAACGGAACTTAATTTTTTCTCATTTCTCTTTTTCCCTTCCTTTTTTTTGGGGGGTTTTTCTCCGGGGGGAAACAGGTTAGGAAAGGCAGTCTTCGATCTCTGCCTGTTTGCCTTTCCAAATCGTGCTCCCATTATTTGGAGGATTGCCTGCCTCATAGAGGGAATCCTTGCACCATACATCAATGTAGCTATTGGAAAGTGTCATTGGTGCTTCAGCAACCCTTCTTCAGAGACGAGTTGATAATAGAGTCAGCTAATTTCAGAAAATGCTCCAGGAAGAAACTTCATGCACAGTGCTTCAGCAGCTGCTTTTATTCTCACTTGATCCTGCAGCCAATCACAAATGGCTTATACACTAAATCCACTTAGTTTTATGGCCTAGTGACTTTCAAACCACCTCAAATCTTTTGGAACCATCCTTTACCTTGCCTTCAAAGCTAATTATCAAAGGCCCATTTCTGGATTTCCGATAACAACCTTGAAGTTTAGAAGAGAAAAAAAGAAAATGAAAAAATTAGAAGAGATAAAAACTAGATATGCTATACACCGGATAACCAAAACAATTTCTGAATCTTCTAACCAATATAAAGGTCTGGGAATTCAAGACCAAGTTTTGATAGAGGTTGAGCAGCTTCTACCTGCATTATGTGGTACACAAATCATTTAGATGACAACATTAACAAAGTAAGAATAAGATATCAAATAATTACCAGAAAAAATCCAGTTCAAGCAGTACTTCTAATAACCAATCTAGAAGAGAAAAACTCCATATTCCCAAGTATGCAATATTGCCTTATCAAACCTGTATTTATTTTCCTATATCAGGTGTTGCTAATTCTCATACTATGTTCTCTGCACATTTTCTGCAGCTTCTGCTTAAACAAAATACCTGAACAACTTGGACACATTTTCTACCAGCTTCTGCTTAAACTAATGTCAGCAGAACTATAAAATACAGTGGGGAAACTCAGAAAAGCATTTGGGCAAAGCAACGAAAAAAGCATGAAAAGGCAAAAATCTGTTTGGCTCACTAGTTTAGAAAGCTAAAACTGCAAAATACTAATACAGAATAATTTAATATCGTCCAATGAGAGTTCTCTAGGTCATAATTTTTAATGATATTGAATGCTCTTGGTAATGAAAAAGTTTTTATAATGGTACTCATCCTTGTTTTTCCTGACAGATTCAAGGCTTGCCTCTTGGTAGCGTGTCTTTAAAAAGGCTCAAGGCTTTAAGCATGGGTCTCAACTAGTCATGGGGCTCACTCCTTCAATTGCATTTATAATTCCTTCATTCTTTTCCTTTCACAAAATGACCAACAATGTATCTGTTGGTTTATGTCGCATCCAAGAACAAAAGATTCATAATTTCATGATAAAATTTTAAATGATTAACTTGTGCAAGCTATGCTGATATATTTTGTGATTTGCTTCAAATCTCATGTTCTATAACCAATGCAATTTTGCTTTTGATACATACAAAAGAAAGAATAAAAACTCACTCCCTTCGCTTTTTAAATCTCGCTTCAAGGGAGTAGAACCCCATGGAAAAAATTGTCTTTGAAAACTATTTTCTTCTGGAATACACCCATAATTTTGTCAGAGATAGTTATAGAATATTAAAAACGACTTAGAGAACATGATGAATGATTAGTCATAAACAGTTATGTGGAGTCACTGTACATGATGAATCAGAATGCATTTCCTGACAAGTGAGCAGATGATATCAAATTACAGACAAAAAGAAAATAAAAGCATTAGTCAAGCACATTGAAGATGTGATCAACTGCAGGCAAATTCTGGTTGGCAAGTCTGAGGATGAAGGCAAACAGAAAAAACCAATGTTTCTAGCAGTGTGTGTAAAAACAATGCAAGGATGGGACTAGATAAATAACAAGAGGATGGAAAATTAGAGTCAAACATACATCTGAAAGATTTGTCTCCAAGCGCTTTGATACAAATGGTTTCATTGATATTAGCAGGCCACTAGACCCTGATAATTCAATTAGGCAATCCCACTGCTGGTCCAGCTCGTTAACATTTGTTGCAGTAAGAATGACTACATTGAGACACTTGATCTACAAAAACCACCACAGATACTCAATTGTTCAAGCTTTTACTGAATGAATCATATCATCTATATGGACACCTAGAAAGTAGTTGATCAAGAAAGAAAATAAAAAACGCATATCAATCATCAATACTTGAATAAAAACAAGTACAATATTAGCAATCAACAAGATGCAACCAGAGCTAGCATGAAAAATAGATACTGCAAATGGGAGACAACAAAGGGTGGTTATTTCTTATCCTTTGAGTTCTCCAGCACCAGAATACCCTTTCTAGGACACAGCTGTCTACAGCCCTAAAAGACAGGATCATGACAGCTTTTGGCATATAGCCCCCATAATTTGGCAGTATGTACCTCAACTCAACTTGATCAACTCAAAAAGCCTTCATTACAATTTACAACAAAATACGACCAGCTATCCAAATATGTCTTGCATGTAGGTACCAGAACTACATACATTTTCCTCCACTCAATTCCAAGAGCAAAGGGTCATGGACAAACAAGAACAGCAAGAGTTCTTACAATATCAATATCCCCATGGAGAAGATGACCTAGGGGAATCCAGTTGAGAAGACAAGCTTGTGAAGACAAAGGGACTACAGAGTTTCTCCTTTTCCATAATAACTTATGATTCAATTGGCGAAATTCATCTTGTTAGCCTTCTAATTTATCCATAATATATGTGAACTCCTAGAAGTGTGTGGAATGCGGACCATTGCGTCGTGATAAGGTTACTCCGTTGTAACCTGGAAGTTTGATGAGTGTCTATATGATTTTTCTTCTCCACACAGGACTAGAAATACCTTGTTTACATACCATTAGGAAGTGCCTTATGTTTGTTTACATACCATTAGAAAGTGCCTTAACATATTGATATTTCGACAGACATTTTGAAACTCCTTAACCTCGGATAAAATGTTATCTAAAATGAATGTAGAAAAAACCACATTTAACCTGACCTAATAATAGTCTTCTTCAACACTATGTCTTGCTTAGTTGCTTTTAGACATATATTTAAAAAGAGTTTATAAAAAAGAAGAAATAAACAAGGATACCCTTCGCACTATCCCCTTCCTGCATTAAGAGAGATGTGCACCAACAGCTAACACTCAGCATCCATATCCCAGTTGACCACTTATATCAGTTCTAATTTTTTGTGGCCAGCTAATGGTCACCACAGGTATATAAGCCAAAGCTAGGGCAAAATTCCTTTTTTTATTGGGTTAATAGTAATTTTGGAACTTAAAGTATGTATATTTTGTCAGTTTGGTCCCTAATGTATAAAATGTCAATTTGGCCACTAAAGTATTCAATTCGTATTTAAAAGATCCCTACACAGATGAATAGTTAAGTTTTCGAAAAAATCGTCACATGATACCATCTGAGAGAATAACACGTGGTTATTTCTGTCACAAACTTAACGAATTGTCTGATTAGGAGTCAACGTGACAGAAATTGAAACTTTAGGGACCATATTGACAAAATTAATATAATGAAGATTAAACTAACAAAACAAACATTCTTGGGGACCAAAAGTACTATTAACCATTTTTGCTTTAATGCTATAAATGTTATTGAATGCTCATAGATAACAGCAACTTCATTAAAATGAAACATGTGAAATAGAGTATCACAAACATTGTTCATCTCTTGTCTAATTATGTTTCACCATGGTTTACCAAAATCCGTTTAAATTTAAATATCATTAAACAATGGCATCAGAAGTCGGATCCTGAACACAAACCAAAGGCACAGGCAGCTTTTCATGATGCAGTAGTTCTGTGATGCCCTCGGGCAATTGAGCCATCTGGCAAAAGTGAAAATGGAAAAGGAAAAAATGTAAGGATGAGACCAATTTCATGCTTCATAACTCAAAAACCATATTATAATGAAAGATACCAGGATTAGTATAAAATCTCTCTCCCTTTGATTGATTGATGATAAAGTTTGAGCAAGGACATTGACACAATCAGAGTCCCAAATTACTAGTAGGCAAAATATAAATTGATAAGTAACTTTACTCATTGATCGAAATATTCTAGCACCAACTTTGCTAAGTACAACGTAAGAGCATCTCCAATGGAAACCCAAACCCTTACACAAATTTAAGTAAAAAAAAAGAGTAAAATGCTTAATTTGGTATAAACCTCTCCAATAAACAAATCATTTTTTAAAGGAGGAGAAACTCAAATTTAAATAAGGACAAACCCAAATTTAAAAGAGGATAAAATATAACCCTTGGATTTTTAAAAGAGGGTGTAATTTCACCGTTAAATATTTGGGTTTAAAAAAGGGTCTCCCTTGATTTGGGTTTAAAAAAGGGTTTGCCTTCATTTGGTATGGATATGGGTCTAGCATTGGAGAAGATTTTAAAGAGTTTTTTACCCTTTTTTAAAAAATGATTTAAAAAAAGATAAGGATTGAAGATGGTCTAAGTAATGCCCCTAATATACACAATAACCACAGTTTCTTTAAATTCTAAAATGTATCATTCTCCAAACTTTAGATTATCATAATGTCATATTCAGAAAACACTAAAATGTATCATTCTCCCTATTACAGATTATCAGAATGCCCTATTTTTCAAATAGCACATGGTCGTATATTTCAGCACAAAGCCAGATCTAGTTGCCCTATCAGTTCCAAACAGGACAACATTGGATAAAACAACAAGACACTTCAGGAACAATCAATACTTGAAATTTAATACCTCATTCCGATCCCCAGCACAC